AAAATATACTCCGTAAATATACTCTGCCATCAGAGAAGCACATCAAGCCAAATCATGAATGGAGGAAAAGGCTTTTGCAAGGCTAATTTAAGTATTTAGCTGTCTCGTTTAGAATTTGAGGCACTTGAAGTTAGGTTCTAGAATTTAAGAAGAAACTAGATCGCAGCTTATCTTTCTGAATATGGTTCAGCCGAGCAAAAGTCTTCTATTTGGATAAGAAACTATGAACGACGAACAGATGAATAAGTTGTCGACTTCAATCTTGAGCAGGGGAGATATATTTCGGATGTAATGGAATGGCCAAGTGGTCTTCAGAATAGCCAACAGTGAAATAATAAATTTCAACTTAAAAAGTAGCCTTAGGGTTGTTTTTTGAGCTCATAATAATTTTCAGCCAAATCAGCTTGTTTCATACGTAGTAGTGTTTGGGGAATTTTTTCTATTTTCAGACTTATAAGCCCATTTTGGGTCTTCCAAACGGCATCTTAAATTTAAAATACGCTCTCCATCTCAATTGTTTTGTAAAATTTCCTATTTTGGTTGTTTCTAGATGATTTTTCAATTTTCATTTTGGGAATGAAAAATTGAATAAAATGACAAATTTACCCTTCTTATTTTCCACTCCAACCCATGGATGACTTAATTCCTCCCAATCGTACCTTATCAACTTCATCCCACACTCCATTTTCTCTCTCCCCTCATATCCCCGACAACTCTCTTCCTCCACATTAGGCATGGACCCGGTTCGGGCCGCCCGACCCGGGACCGGCCCGGCCCGCCACTGTGCGAGCCCGGAACCGGCCCGGTTCTCGGCTCCGGGTCCGGGTCGGGCCTAGGCCCGGTGGGGTGGCCGGGTCCGGGCTCGGGCCTTGTATTTGGCGAACCGGCCCGGCAGGGTCGGGCCCGGCCCGGGCCGAATTGATTTTTTTTTAATTTTTTTTTTCTTTTTTTGGGGTTAGTCAAGTTGGGCTTGATGGTTAGGAGGGGTTTGGGGGTTTGGGGGGGTGTGGGGGTGAGTGGGGGGATAGGAAAGCAAAAAAAAAAAAAAAAAAAAAAAAATTATAACCGAACCGGAGGCCAGGCCCGGACCGGCCCGGACCCGGACCCGGACCGGACCCGGTGGCTACCCGGGCCGGTCCCGGGCCTTCCTTCCCAAAAAAAAAGCCCGGCCGGGCCCGGCCCGGAACTGGAACCGGCCCGGCCCGGGTCCATGACTACTCCACATCAACATCCATATTGAGCTTTTCTCTGTGAAATGGATTGTCGCACGTTAAACTCCAGGGTTAGTGATACTCCCGTTTGAAAGGTGAAGAATGAGAAAGTAAAGAAAGTCTAGCTAGGGCAATGGCGGGGCTCATCTATGGTCAGTGATGGAGGATTCCTAGCTTCTCCAAGCTTTGCAATTAAGATAAGGGGGTGGAGATGAAGGTTTCCCACTGTAATTAAGTTGAAATTTATCTTTATTTTGTGTGACTAATTTGTTGAAGAAGGGAGATGAATGGGGATGAAAGTGAGATGGGGGTAATCTGAGTTCCAACTCAGCTGAAGAAGGGGAGATGAATCGCTTGAGCCATTCCAGAAAAGTGAAGAAAATAAGTAGTGTGGACTGTGGATGGAGCACATTTATGATTTATGCACAGTAGAAATTAGAATTGTACTTTCGTTAGGCATCTATAAGCTACCTACGTGACCGTTGCTACACGTCTTAGAGCCCGTTTGGCGACACTTTTTTAGACTTGCCGGATTTTCGCATACTAAATAGTGTAATACTCCGTAATAAGAAAAAGTAAGTTTGAAGTTACTTTTCTGGCTGTATTGGCTGAAGTTCTATATAGGATCATTTTAGCTGTTTTTTCATATAACTTTTTGTTTGATTTATTAATAACAAATATTTTAACTATAATTTCTTCATAAATTAGCAGAATTAGCCAATACAACTACTCCAGCCATTACTTCATAAATTTCAGTAGAATCAACCAATACAACCAATTTCAGTGTTACCAAACGGCCTCTAATTTTACTTTCCCATTTTTCAATCTTGTTCCACGAGTATGCTTTAGGAGGAAAAGGGTAAAAAAGTAAATCAAATTTGAATTTATAAGTTTTCTTACTCCTTGTGGTGGTCAAAGTTTTTGAATCGGTTCAGGACAGATGGAGTATCTTTATAGTAAATGAGTAATCATGAATTTTCATAATTAATTAAATTTAAAAACAGTCATTTAAAATATGTATAGTCATATATTATATGCAATGAGTATATTCATGTATTCTCATATTGTATTATCATAATTCAATTTGATGTCACATTTCCTTAATGTCACATTACCTTAATGTTAACAAAACACTAACTGATCTGAGAATAAATTACATTCATATCAATCTAATATACCCATCAATCAACATTCTCTTGGTAATCTGACATTCTTTGAAGCAAACAAGCTCCAAATGTTATGAGAAACATGATCGACATGAGAGGATGTAGCTAGGAGGACCAACTTATACCGTGGCCTACAACAACTATATAGATTAATTTTGTTTAAATTATTAGTGTAGAAAGCCCTATAAAAGAATTCCAAAAAAATCTTTAAACCCGCTTACCCAATGTATTGCTCTGCCTATGCAAGGATTGAGACATGGTCATACAAGTAGTCAAGTCTGATCTTATTCATGACTTAATAAATGCTAATGAGTTACACATTTTTATGGAGAAGCTAATAGACGTAAGGAAATGTCTTCATTTTGCATTTAGCGAGAGTTGATACAAGTCTACAAGACATGCTATATGAGCAATTTATTTTTTATGAAAGGATTGAGAATTGAGAACATATTAATCCACTGTCAGGTAAGCCATCATCTCTTTCTGCAATTTTTGTATTCACTAACTTTAGTTTACTCTTCTAAATGCCCAATTCTCCACAATGATAGGCTTGCCAATTCATTGATTTCTCCTTATTATTTCTAAAATATCATACCATATTCTATTTTTTCTCGATTTGGACATATATATATAGGGATTGGGTTAGGGTTGAGTGGGGGCAGCTGCCCCCATAGTGGATACGCCACTGTCCTTAATGTCACATTACCTTAATGTTAACAAATTAAAACACTAACTGATCTGAGAATAAATTACTTTCATATCAATCTAATATACCCGTCAATTAACATTCACATGGTAATATGACATTCTATGAACCAAACAAGCTCCAAAAGTTATGAGAAACATGATCGGCATGAGGGACGTAGCTAGGAGGACCAACTTAGACCCTGGCCTACAACTATATAGATTAATTTTGTTTAAATTATTAGTGTGGAAAACCCTATAAAAGAATTCCAAAAAAATCTTTAAACCCGCTTACCCAATGTATTGCTCTGCATATGCAAGGATTGAGACATGGTCATACAAGTAGTCAAGTCTTATTCATGACTTAATAAATATTAATGAGCTACACATTTTTATGGAGAAGCTAATAGACGTAAGGAAAAGGAAATGTCTTCATTTTGCATTTAGCGAGAGTTGATACAAGCCTACAAGACATGCTATACGAGCAATTTTTTTTATAAAAGGATTGAGAATTGAGAACATCTTAATCCACTGTCAGGTAAGCCATCATCTCTTTCTTCAATTTTTGCATTCACTAACTTTAGTTTACTCTTCTAAATGCCCAATTCTCCACAATGATATATAGGCTCGCCAATTCATTGATTTCTCCCTATTATTTCTAAAAATACCATACCATATTCTATTTTTTCTCGATTCAAATATTAAATGTATCCTCATTGAATTGTATATACTAATTATAATTTTATCGATTATAATTTTATAACTAATGTGGTAATTGTTATGATTAATTAATTTCATTCAGATGAGTATTGTCACATTATTTTTTATAATCAATTGAAATTACTATGATTAATTGGGACCACAGATTGTAAACCATTACCAAGGGTCAAGGATGAGAGGCAACCATGCATTATGTATTGACGTACATGGCTTTTTCATTTGGGGGATGCCTAGAAAAATTAAAGTAGGATAGAGAATTTGGGCAACCATTTTACATTGTGGACAAATTCTATTTAGAGGATAGAGAATTTCTTTTAAGAGAGCTCTCCATTCATTGGTGGAATCCTCAAATTTAACAAATTTCTCATCATGGTGAATGTTATAGGGAGCCAGTTTAATACAACTGAAAATGCCTATTTGGACTTTGGATGGTGTATTTTAAACATGATAGATTTGTTCTTTCACATGAAAGGGGATCTTTTGATAAACAAGAGTACTCGCAAAAGTGAATTAAAGTGTAACAAGTTTGACTCAAAGTCAAACTAGGACTTTAAGTGAGGGGAAACGTAGTACTGTATATTTTAAAGTAACATTGGTTTGGTTTGATATCATGATATGTTTATTACTTTCTTATGTACTTCGAGTACGTGTAGTATTCTTTGGTCCGATTAACCTAGTTTGACTTCATTTAATGAAAGTGAAATGAGTTGAGAAGAAAATATTTTCTAGCAAAGCTAGTGTAGAAGTTAAATATAGTCAAATACTATTAAACTATCGGTTACAAAAAAAAAAGTGTAACCTCCACTTTAATGAAAGAAAGACTCGTCTTTAATTTGATTGCTATAATGCATATAAATGCTAATATTGAACTTAACACCACTTACCTATCCGTACAATAAATAACATTTACACAGTATTAACTAGCTCAGTTGACTACATACAACTCCAAACCGTACGGCTAACATAATTATTACGATTAATTTACTTATATATGGTACTTTAAATTCTGCATCTCAAGTATTTTATTAGTTTTAAATTTACTCTTACCTTCACGGCTTTATTTAATACTTAGACATGTATCTTATTTATTGACATTACTCACTACTGAATGTCTAAATGTTACTCTTTTTTCTGTTTCAGAATACCATCTAGCTCTATAAATTGAAATATTCAACATATTTATATTTTTCTAGCTAGTCTATCTTGCTCCAAATATGTGCTTTGACGTGGATTAAAACCAGGAAAATCAAAACATGAGTGCTGCAAAAATTACTTCATGTCCGGCCGTCTCCATTTTTTCTGTGTTTTTTATGATCGTGCTCAGAGTTTGTTTAGTTCATGCTCAACTAGACGTATTTGAAGTCTCTGCCTTTGGTTGTGACCCTTCCGGAGACATGTGGGATATAACCGAGGTAAATTGTACAAAAGTTCATGAAAGCATAATTTTCATGTAAAATCTTTTTTGTATTGCTTCAGTCCCAATTTTTAGGCATTAGAAAGAATCACACATATTAAGAAAATCGGTTAATTGCCTAAATAGGAGTAAAAGGTAGTCAACAATCACAAATAGGACTACATTGTTTTCTAATTCACTAATAGGAATAATTATGTGTGTTTGGAGAAATATACCCTTGTAGCTATTCAAATGTTTTAATTCATTATAACATCATAAACATTAATAAAAAAGTAAAATGTAATAAAAACTAATAAAAAGATTTATAAAACAAAAATTTATTTATTTTAAAAAATAAAAAACAAAACAAAAATAAAAATAAAAAAACTTAAAAAAATCACCGCCGCCTCTGCCACCACAGCACTACCACCTTCGGTCACTGGAAAAAATACCACATGCATTATTAATAGCATATTTAATGAAAATTTTGGAATTATCAAAGAGTAATATACCATTTTTGGCATTTTTCGGAAAAATAATGATTTTTTTTTACAGAAATGGCATTTTTGTTTTTACAAAAATGTCATTTTTTCCACCGGTCGGAGGTGGTAATGCAGGGAGGCAGTACAGGCGATAGGAAAGGCATAATGTTTTTTTAATTTTTTATTGATTTTACTATTTTTATTATTTTTTAAATTTAATTTTCTTAATTTTGTTTCTAAATTTTTATTTTATAAATATTTATCAATTTATTACGTAGTATCATTTTTCCACGATTTTTTTTTTACGATTTTATTATGAATTAAAACATGTAATGATGACTCTTGATTACCTTTTACTCCTACTAAAAAGAGGGGTAAGAATGGATGGGAAAATATGTATGTTTTAAAATAGAAGTAATATAGTTCTATTTTGCAATGAAAACATAAGAAGTCCTATTTTGGATTTTACCCTAGTTTTACTCCTATTTGGGTTAACGTCTATAAGAAATAAAGAGAATATATTGAACAATTTCGTTGAATCTTACATTCTTACTACCTTCACAAGTCCAACTAAAACTGAAACACGATAAATTGTTTAGTAAACATATCAAACCAAATTAACTCATGTCATAAATATTAGTGCCATGATTACATAATTCATGTTGTCACATTAGGGTAAATTCATAACAACTATGTAAAAATCTACTTTTATTATACGTAATATTACTTATATTCCCAATATATTAAACTAGTGTATGTATAATTCACTTATTACTTATGTGACATGACTCAGAGACAAAACAGAGATAACATATCTTACTGTTATGAGTGCCTACTCGATAGTCGATTTTTTTTTATAAGAAATCCTGATATTAAGTTGGTCGAGAGCGGAACTATAGCATTACAGGGTAAGGCAAGGGTTCCATTCGAGGTTTCCATTAGTGCGGAAACTCATCCACTAAACTGTATAAAACAAGTTTATAATACAGAGAATAATTCATGTCCGGCCAGGCCGGACAGGAGGCTCGTCCGGACACCTCAATTTGAGGTGATTCCCTATGGTATTTTTGGCGCAAATTTTTTGTGTATGTTCCTCATCAAGTATAGTTCATCCATACCAAATTTGAGCAAAGAATTCAATCCGGAAGGTCGTCAAATGATTTTTGCAAGTTAACTGCATTGTATATGTATATTCCGGACCAGTTAACTTGCAAAAATCATTTGACGACCTTACCGATTGAATGTTTTTCCCAAATTTGGTATGAATGAACTACACTTGATGAGGAACATACACAAAATGTTTGAGCCAAAAATACCACCTGGAACCACCTCAAAATGAGGTGGCCGGATGAGCCTCCTGTCCAGCCTGACTGGATAGGAAAAGGACTCTTATAATATTCCATAAATGTCTCAATTATATGTTAAATTAATAACTCCATATATATTCCATATATATTAAATTAATAACTCCATTAGTCTCAATTAAAATGTCATTTATCTAAGCTATATATGAAACATATAATTCGAGTAGTGTCTAAAATCGATCCAACGTTTTCACTCTTTATATGGTTGAACTTTGACCCTCTACGTCGTTTTTCTAGCTCCGCCACTAATAACATGGTAGATATATTGACGAGGGCGACTCAATCTTGTTGATTGGATCAACAACATGTTAGTGCTATTTTACCTTGTATTAATACAAAAGTTCATCAATAAAATAGCCCTTAAAACTACTCAACCAATATCAGATTTCTTGGATTTTAGATTGCTACACACATATAACTATCCCTAACAAGTATGTTGGGAAAACTATTGTAGTCCTTAGTAAAGGCATGGAGGCAAGCATGTGACACCAAAGACGGCATAGTTGTGATCCCAAGAGGGACTTTCTCGTTGAATACTGTGACACTAGATGGACCATGTAATGGTTCAACAACGTTTGTACTTAACGGCAACCTGAAAGCTCCAATCGATATTTCGGAAATGGGAAAAGACTCTCAGAGTTGGATGCTATTTTTGAACATGAAAGATTTATTCATCATAGGGAGGGGGTCTTTTGATGGGCAAGGCACACATTCATGGCTTCAAAATCAATGCAAGCGTTACCTTAATTGTAAATCTCTTCCAACGGTACGTTAGTACAATAAATACCACTTATATTATTATTAATGTTACTGTTGACTCTTGTGTTCACTATTAGTCATGTAACGCTTACTTAGAGATCATCCTCTGTAATATTACATTTGCATATATCAAATAACAAAGTTTTCCATTAAAATGTATTGTTCCCAAGAGAAAGTTTCATGTTGGCAAGAGCTTTTCTGTTGCGCTTTTATAGAAAAATGGTAAAATCATATAGAAAAAATAATTATATTATTTACAAGGTTTAATTTGTAAGACAGTAAAGTTACATGAATAATACTACATCCGTCCCGGTGGACTTTGTCAAGTGCAAAGTATGTGAGAAATAAGAATAGTAAAAACTGTGTAGTTGATATTTGTGCAGAAGAAAGACAAATGTGCAGAACCACAAATCAGTCGCTTTAATAGAAAAGTGGCAAAGTTTTTTGGGACAACCAAAAAGGTAAAGTTGACAAAGTACAATGGGACGGAGGGAGTAACAGTTGTATTTATGATTCAATATATTAAATCAACAAATATCTCATATTTGAGATGATGAATAGTGTAATTGAGATCACTAAATTACTTGAAATGATTCATTTTTAATGAGCTCGTGACTAATCTAAAGATGAAATAAAGATCTTTAATTTCTCCAATGCCTTCTATGAACATTTTTATCTTTCAACATGCATTAATAGGTTCATGTGCATGGTGTTAATATCTTATAAACAATTGATTATTGGTTTTAATAAAATTTATGTATGAACGTATGTTTTCATTTTATTTATTTGGCATTGTATGAAGTCTTTGGAGCTCGAGAATGTCACTAATGCACTAGTTGAAGGAATAACATCTATAGACAGCAAGTTTTTCCACATTGCACTTCGTAGAAGTGAGTCTATTCTTATAAAGAATGTTGTAATACAAGCTCCGGGATATAGCCACAACACAGATGGAATCCATATCTCTCTATCAAAAAACATAATCATCAACAAGGCAGACATTGGCACCGGTGATGATTGCATCTCTTTGAGCCAAGGCAGCAGAAATATACATATCTACCAAATCAAGTGCGGTCCTGGTCATGGTATCAGTATTGGAAGCTTGGGTAATCATGCACATGAAGAAGATGTGAGTGACATTCTTGTGAATGATTGCACATTCACAAACACCACAAATGGCGCTAGGATCAAAACATGGGCGCCTTCTTTTCCTTCCAGGGTTTTCAATCTCACCTTTGCAGATATCACTTTAAACAATGTTACCAATCCAATTTTAATCGATCAACATTATTGCCCAAACTCACATTGCACGTCTAAGGTAAATGTTTTATATATTTATTCGTTACATTTCCATTATTTTGCAAGTGTCATGTTTGTTGAAAACAACTTCTTTTTACAGGAAACATATGTACACATATGTACATATATTTGTTTAAAAAAATTTAAATATATGTACAAATATGTGTGTTCTTATTTTAAAACAAAATCTTTTGAAAATTAAGTCCGTTTTTTTTAAAAAACAAGACCTATTTGAAGAAATGTGTTATATTTCATTTCAACTTATGGAGTATTCACTTTACGCTACACAGTGTGTTATATTTCATCTTTTTGGATGGAATTCATTTAAAATAAAAGTCACAACCAATTAAATTCTAATGAGCAATTCACTCATGGTAACAAAACCTCAACAAAAGCACATGAACTTCAATTTTGTTTACACAATCATGTCATCATCTTGTCGTGGTATGCTAAGTCATTTTCATAATGAAAAAATTACAATTTCACACATAACTATAATATTGGGTAAACTATGCATTTAAAATTGATATTTTAAAATGAAACTAGTCAACTATAAATCATAAATTAGGAAGTCGTGTTTGACTGCCTACCTTTTTTCTAGTTTAGCCCCATCCCCCACCCCAATTGATTCTAGCGATACCAACCTATGGTGCCCCACACCCTATACCACATTCACTGTATTTCAATGGTGTTTTAGGTGAGTCATAGGTGAGTCATACTTAGGCTTGACGATTTAGATTAGCCAAGTTGGTTGTTTATTAAGATATGATAAAGTGAGTAGATAAAGGATTATATCATTTCATGATTACCAGAAGAATGCCCAATATATTTCTAGGCATCATGATCCTCCTAAGTCGTCAACACTCATAATTTAGGTGTGAAGATAGAAACTAAAAAAGGGACATTCCTGTAAATAGTCAATATATCCTTGTTAGCAAGTTGTGTATTAACATAACATTAGTGTTGATGCAGGGAGAATCACAAGTCCATATCTCTGAGGTTGAGTTCCACAACTTTACGGGTTCTTCTCCAAATAAGGAGGCTGTCATTCTCAATTGTAGCTCACTTATGCCATGTGAAGCTATTATCTTAGGAGAATTGAATATAAGAGACAACCTAGGAGGACCAACCATGCTCACATGTACAAACGTTCATGGAATATCCTACGAAAGTGCATCTTCAATCATTTGTGCAGATAATGGCATTGCTCCAAGTGGTGAGGTGGTTGGAACCTCTCCAGTTGGAAGTATTGGGATGGCCCCCAGTACTCCTAGCCCTCATATAGGTGCTCCCAGTAAAGAGGTAGGAATTGCACCCAATGGGGTGGATAAGTTTGCCCCATGCAACAAGGTAGTATATGCCCCGAGCAGGGGAAGATCTATATTGAACTATAGTGGGTAGAAGCACTTTATACTTTATATACTTTCTACCTTTCAGTGTGACCTATTTCTTTTTAATATTTATTCCACTCTGTATATATGGTTAAATCTAGTATTGTGATAACTTTTCAACCCAGTTTAGCCTAAGTTTCTAGATACATCAAAGATGAAACTTCTAAGATTGGTGAAATTCCCACATGTGGTAAGGTCGGGGTTGTCCCTGATCGATGACGAGAAAGTGATTTTCTCATAAATTAAGTGAGCAGGTTATGGGATTGGATCTCAAATTGTGAGGATGTCATTTTTTCACACGAGAGATTGGGGTTGAACTAGGAGATGAGGAAGAGACTTTCTCACGCAGCCAAAGTGCAAATCACGTGGTTGATAAAGTAAGAGGTTGAAATCAATTCCATTGAGCTCAGAAGGTTGAACTACGAAATAACATGGTGTCCTCATACCTTACCTAGTGGCAGAGGCGCTTGAAAATTGGATCATAAATAAAATAGAAAGATGTGAAGAGACATGAAAATCAAATAAAATGTTATACATATTAATGTTGTCTTTTTAGGCGTTGTATTTATTGTGTGTGTAATTTAGTAGTTTGAAATACTATTGAAACCTACAAAAAAAGAGGTGGATGTTTACAGTAATTTCATTCAACTTAGTTGAAAAAATAACTTCTATTTACTTAACCTAATTATTATACAATTCAACGTGTGAAATTAAAAATTGTGTGCTCAACTTATAAGTCGATTTCAAGTGTAATCACATCTCATGAAATACCCCTCCACCAAGGGAAAATCGTGAGTTCGATCTTCACATTTAATTTGGAATGCAAAACAATCTTAAGATTATATGTAGTCACGAGATTTTTCTTACAATTTATGGAAAAAAATGTGGCACAGAATCACTATGGGAACTGATTAAGATCCAACATACCATTAAGTTCTTGTAAAGCTCCGTGTCTAATTTTTTTTTCTTCCCGAAAGACACCTTTTCGGTGTGGCAAACATCGGGGAACATTTGCCAATGTATTAAAAATGTATTTACAAAAAAGAAAAATTGAGTCAAAAAAGCAAACAATTGAGGCCAACCCAAAGGATAGGTGGCCCTAGAACACTGCTAACGTCGAACGCATAGGAATATATTCCTGCGCAAAACCGAGAGCATCCAAAGTTCTTGTAAAGCTCAATAAGAATCACATGGACTATATATTACAACGACTCACTGAATTGAGAAGAATGTAATATAGAGATAGAAAATTCTTAGTGTATGTACACAAATTGTACACCAACCCCTCTAATTATTTGTATACACAGGCAATTCCTTTAAAAAATATATGGCAGGATTTGATACCAAAACATCCCTAATTGCCTATGTACAAAAGCAATATACACATTTTGTGTACATCTTGTGTACACCAATTAAGCATGGCCCTTGCCCATATATCCATCGAGAATGCATCGAGGCACAATGAGTTTACGGATGCCGATACCCATAGTAAATTCATTTTAGAATGTTTTTATTTGGACTGTAATCTATCGCAGACCATATCAGATCGATTCAGACCAGACCAGCAAATTACAGTCCAAGTAAAAACATCCTTAATTATTTATATAAATATTCACAGATTCATTTATATTCTTTAACTTTTTATTATATTAATCAATTATGTTTAACATCAATTCTTTGACATTAAAGTATTAAGAAAATTCCCGAAATATAAGTCAAAAATTGGGGAATGGTATATTTTTATTCGCTAAATAGGACTTTCAAATTCGGAATATTCTATTATTTTAAAGCCGAATAATGTCCAAATATGACATTAATTGTTTATATTTAAGGAATAAAAATAAGTAATCTTATTTTGGAATTTAGAAACGTTTGTAGTTACTCCAATTTAGGGCAATTTCTTTAAAATATTTATACATTACTTAAACAATTGCTATTTATATTGACGAATAATATCACAACATATCAAATAATCTTTTTTTCTCATTTAAACAAAACAATATTTGTAATTAACTAATCTACTTCACTTGTAAATATTTTCTGTCAGTGTTGGGGTTTTGACACTCGTGGTGTTGGAACTTATTTGGAGTATTGGAGATGCTTGAATTATCCAACAGTCGTGTCTTCATATGAATTTTTATGTGATATTCATATGAATTTTTCTACATGATTTTCTCTATAGTATATGATGTTTCGGTCTATACACAGTTGTTATTAATGACACTTTCGTTAGTGCACACAAGTAATTCATATAAAAAAGAGTAGTTATACGTGCGTGAACAGTAACTTTTTTTTTGTTTTTCCCTTGCCCAGCAATTGAGTGATGTAATGTAACTCCCGTTGACAAGAAATATAACTACAGGCAAGTTGAAATGTAACTTATGTAATGCGGAGTATAAGAAATAAAACATTGATTTCAATGTAAACAATGAAAAAATGGAGTCTAATTTTTGAATTACTTTACGTAGATATGTTTTTTTAATATTAAGGCCATAAAATATTTTTTAAAATATTATTTTTTGCCAAAAAAATATTTTCTTTGCAAAAAAAAAAATGAATTTTTTGTTTCAATAGTTGGAGTTTATTCTGGTATGTAAGTAGTGTTATGAAATATGTAATTTAATTAGATGTACGTAACTAGTGAAAGATAAAGATAAGTAAAAAGTCACAAATATATAATTAGATGTAACTCATGCATAATTAGATGTAACTTGCACATAAAAGTATGTAACTCGCTCATAAAAACATGTAACTCATAACAAGATGTAACTCGCGCATAATAACATGTAACTTAGGCATAAGAAGATGTAACTTCATATATTATCAAATGTATCTCTATAAATCAAAATAAATATAGTCAATGTCTTAAGAACCTCTAAAAACATATAAAAGCGATAAAAAGTGTATGCATATAAAAGTATATTACACAAAAAAATGAATGTAAAAAAGATATTACACAACATAATAATTTTTTTGTTGTGATTTTAGTTGAAGAAAAAAAGAAAAAAGTGCACGAATAAGGATTAAGAAAGAAAGAAAACTAATTAATTTGTTTTCAAAGGATAAAAATTTAATCACAAAATTGAAACAAAGTACATATATCCGGCCAGTGTTCCTTAGTTAAAAAAATCATTTGGAAATATGATAGGTTTTGATAATGAAAAAATAAAAGTAAAAAAACGAAAGTAAAAAAGAAAGAGGGTGGGGGAGTGCACTAGAGAAATAGATCAATAGAGCTGAGAGCTAAGCAAAAACGAAAAAGAATAAAAGCAACGTGGGTGGGGGGAGAAGACGAGTGGCCTAGTCAGTGGAGCGTGTGATTAGAGAGAGAGCTTGAGGCCGACTTTTATTCTAGAACGGTGCCGTATTCGGAACAGGTGTACCATGCACATGGTATAGTGGTCCATTTGAGGTGGTTTGGGGTGATTTGGGGTTGAGAAAGAGGGGTAGGGGATTAAATAAAGAAGCCAAAAAAAAAAAATAGGGCGGGTGGCCCGGCCCGGAACCGGCCACCCCCGATTCGGGCTTGGGCCTCAATATTCTGAACCGAGGCCCGGCCGGGCCCAGGCCCGAGGCCCGAACCGGCCCGGTTCAGTCCACCCCTATGGTATTCCGATCCTACGGTATAATTTGCGTATAAAAAAAATATTTGTGTAGGCGTGCAAAATTGACGTGTAAAATGAACGTGTACATCTCTCTATACTACTCCCTCCGTCCCTAAATAAACTTCCAACTTTCCTTTTTCGTCCGTCCAAATTAAAACTTCAACTTTTCCTTTTTGGCCAGAATTTGTGGTTCACAGCAATTCTTACATATTTCTCTCTCCTCTGCACAACTCTCTATCACACAATACTCACTATCTTAAACTCTGTGTCAAACCTATTTGGAAGATATAATAGGGACGGAGAGAGTAGTATTTTTTGAAGTAGACATACTCCTTAGGATGTTTTCTTTTAAGTTTTTTTCAGTCCCAGACCAAACCAGATAGATCAGACCAGACTTAAGCAGACCAGACCAGACCAGACCAGACTTAAACAGACCAGACCAGACCAGACTTGGATAATTAAAAAATACACAGAGACCAGATCTTTACTAGACCAGACCAGACCAGTTCAGACCAGACTTAAACAGACCAGACCATCAAATTTCAGTCAAGAAAAAAACATTCTTACTCGTATTTTTTTAAGACTAGAGATACCAAAATATCTTTCTGATTTAAATTACGACCTTATCCGGTCTCAAAAGACTAGTATTGGCTTATTGCGTGTACTGGAGACGTTTTGAATACCGTCCGATTTCAGATACCAAATTCCTTACATTACTACCATTTGCGGATAACCGAAAGCAGAGTGAGGGGATAACGGAGGCAGGTCATACATTCCGTTAAAATTCTGATCCCACGTGGCATTCCAGTTTGACGGCGTTGGGGGCCATTCCTCTGCCGCGCCATTTCTAACGACAACCGTCTCCTCGGCGTCTCTCTCTGGCTTCCCGCAACCTTGCCCGGCGGCCTGAGACTCTTCGGTTCTGAGCCTCGAAGCTTCCAACGGGAAGTTCAGAATCGCTTTGCTCCCGCGAATCCTGAAAGCCGCTCGGTCGTAAGCTTTAGCCGCCTCGACTGCGGTGTCGAATGTCCCCAGCCAAGCTCTGCTCCCGCGCCGTTTCGGATCTCGGATCTCCGCCGCGTACTTTCCCCACGGCCGCCGCCTAACTCCTCTGTAGCGTTTGTTCTCCTCCGCAGGCAGCTGGATTTGGACGGTCGTCCTTTCGGCTTGCTCCACCCGAGATAAATCGATCTTCAGCGGAGGCTTTCTGGATGGGGCTGTTGAATTCTGTTGTATTTTTGGTGATGTCAGATCTATAATTTGAGAATATGATTCGAAGTTCGTGAACGTGTTATCATTTTGCTCGAAATTCATCGGTGAATTTGATTCCAAATCAAGCAGATTCTCTTGAAAATTCAAGGAATTATAATCAAAATCAATGGAATCCTGGCTACAATCGGAAATCGTGAGAGGAAGTTCATAGCTAGCATTTTGAGAGGGGTTAGAGCCTGATTGCGAGCTTGAAAAAACTCCAACTGCTGGATTGTTGCTAAGCTGGTTAGCAAAATTAAATGCTTTTGGAGAAAATTCTCCAAGCAGATAGTTTCTGATTTGTTGTAGTGCAGAAACTTCATCAAAGGTCGCCATCGACTTCGCAAAAAACTCAAAATGAAGATGAAGGAGATTTTTCTCCAAGAGGAGATTTGTCTCAGTTGCTAATGCTGAAGAAAATGTTAAGAGCCTGAAGGCGGGTCTTTTTGGATGGACTTTTTGAAGAGAATGAGATGCTCTATATATATTGAGAACGACTGACAGAAAAGTAAAGTCAACCGACGGATAACCAAAATTTATCCATAATCTACACTATGGATAAATTTTGTGTGATAGGATTCACAGAAAAATAGCCTTCAGAGAATTGTGCATAAGAATGAGTATACGAGTGGATATGACAATAAAGGTTGAAATATAATACGAAACAATGGCATAGATGTTACTTACCATCTTTTGTTATACAAAAGTATGACCACTTTTTAAAAAGACAGAAAAGTGATTTTTTTTAACTCTTGCTGCCTTTTTCGGCTTTCAACCTTCTCGCTGCCTTCTTCCGTTTTTCACCACTCTCTGCCTTCTTCCGTTTTTCACCACTCGCTGCCTTCTTCTGCTTACAACTCTTTGAACCAGTATTTGCACTCTCTCCGCCCTCTTCATCAGTGAACCAGCACCACCGACTGAGCTCTGCCACGAGTTGCAGCCACCATCTCCGCCGCAATCGGACATTGGTGACGGTAACATCTTACACCTCCGCCCTGACCTTCATCTAGCTTCGATATTGTCTTAGCTAGTCGCGTCTCTGGTGTATGACAGCTCCGATCTGAGGCCGCCGGTGACGGATCCGCCATACTCCATGGACAATGACTTTGATTTGGGGTCCGATTTGGGAATACCGCTGTTGGTGGGGTCTGATTTGGGGCCGCCGTCACCGCTGGGGTCCGATTTGGGGCCGCCGCCGCCGGAGTTCGGTTTGGGTCTGCTGCTGCTTGCGGTGGTGTTATGGCTAAGGTTTTGTGTGAATCAGCTAGACAAAGACCTGGGGGGATGATAGGGGTGATCGAGGCAGGGGACCAGGGGAGCAGGGGCTGGGCTGGATGTTAGGGCTGAGGGCGGGTGGCTGGTGGGGGTGACTGGCGGTGACTGAGGTGGCTTGGTCACTATGACGCTGGCGACATGGGGATGGAAGGGGAAGGGGAAATACGATTTGACCGTGACCATGGTATGGCGATGCCGATGGGGTGTCACTGGGCGGTGGCGGTGTCATTGTCACTTGTCACTATGGCGGTGTCACTATGGCAGTGTCACTGTGGCGGTGTCACTATGGTCGGCAGCGGTGGCGGTGACACGGTAGATGGCGGGAATAGTGATATGATGGTAGTGACATTCAAAAGTGACATGAACATTAGTCAGTGACACGATTTTCTTGGGTGTCACTTTATCTTAGGCACATTTTTGTCAAAATACAAATATGGTCACTTTTTGAGAAATTTGCTTTAAATTAGTAATATTAAGGGATAAACCCCATATAATACCCCTCTATCTCATACTCCACCTCTTATCTTAAATTTCATTTTAGCTTTTCATATTTTCTATTTAGTTTACCTCATACTCCCTCCATATTGAAATAATGAAATGTACGTTACACTTCCATTTTTAGGACATAGTATAATTTATCTACATTTTTCTTCATGAGAAGTTTTCTTCTAAAAAATAATCGATTACCTTTGTATTCTACATTTTATGTTTTCTTTCATAATTTTTCATTTTCTCTTACTTTTTCTACATTATTAATTACACTTACCATCTTTCACTTAAATATTATGTAAAACCCTGTTATAGCAAACATTTCAATACGGAGGGAGTACAATATTTTGATTACATGTGCTGGTTATCTTTCGCTCTTACTTTACTTACAATTTACTAATTTAATACCAATCACACAATTCCACTTCTCTAAACAACCATACAATTGGCTCTTGTCCCATTCTTAAGTGGTTGGAGGTGATTGTGGCCCATTGTGACCAAAATTGTCGAGTTTGATAGAGGGAATTCAGGAAATTTTTTGTACCCATAGATGAGATGATATGTTGTATAGTATAAGAGTAGCTCTCAAGCAAGGCACTTATCATAGTCTGATGATACTAGATGGCATATAAAAAAAGTAAGTTTTTGTTTTGTTGCGGCAATAAACTGATCAGTATCAATAACATAACCTACAAGGCGAATGTTGAAAAGAGTTGAATGGTTCTAACACTGTTGGAAGTGGTGAGTTAGGTGAGGAAATGTATTGTAGTTGTATGGGAGATAGCATGGGCTGCATGGATACTTCAAGTAATAGCTATTGTATGAAATCCTTGATCGAGTTGAGAAAAACTGTGCACATTTGAGTATAGCAAATTAGATAATAAATACTTGAGTATGTTTAGAGGTAAGGAGATAAGCTAAAGAGATAAACTTTCTTAACTAATTACAGAAATTGTAGAGAGGCTAGTAAATAAGACAACTAAGTGTGTACAAATGTGTGCATAAATAAACATGAGCAATAATAGTATTATGCTAAATGTAACATTCATTAATTATCCACATACAATAACATCCAAATGCATTTTGCATAAAATCATCACGAATTACAAAATTCACGAAAATATCTCTTGCATTTGAAAAGTTGATTTCCAAAATAAGAAATATTATCCTCACACATTGTGAAATTCTAAAATGTTATACGTTTATACTTATATAGCTATGGGACATTTTCTTGGTACCAGTTCTTTACACTTTTTACACACAATATTTATATCCCTTTTTTTAATCTTTCCCATTCTCTCGCACCACATATGGTGCTTTCTCTTCCACACCCCCTTCCATTAACAACATTAATTTATTTACACTCATACAAACAACTTTTGTCTTGGGAGAAGGTTTTATGTGAAAGCTATGATCATTCATCACGTTGACAATTAACTGATAAAGCAAACTCGATCGAAACCCCGAATCTATGAAAGTTGAAACTGACTCAAAACAGATCAAATCATAGTCAATTTGATTCACGGTTGAAATTTAAACTTAGAAAAAGAGCGAACAACCAAGTATATCAGTCCAATCGGTTGTGAGGTTACCGATGCATATGTAAGGTCTCGTGTTAGAAACCCGCTATGCACCAAGAAAAGATTAAGGAGGTCTTGCTCCCAATGATTCTTCTTACCTATCAACAGAATGAATGAACACCCCTAAAGTTTGTTTTTGGTAGCACATTTTTTGGATTATGAGACTTCTGACCTTCTTTTTTTTATCAAACATGTAATTTTTTATTTCACATTCTTAGAATATTTTTAGTCAAATTGAAATTTAGTAGCATGACATGATCTGATAAGGTAAATAATGTGTTATTTTGTTTCACTATTGTCTAAAAAAGCAAGGGTGAATTCGGAAGAAAAGTTCTACGTGTAGTTTCCTTAAATCTTGTGCCCATATGCAAGGTTGCATTTAAAACGGAACGGAGAGTAGTATTTGTTATACAATTCCACGGATTCAATAAATTCAACTAATTCAACAAATTATTAAATTACCTTTTACCGGCTTATCCTTTTACAACAATGTTTGATGTACCCACTTTTATACTCACCTTATACCCACCATGTTTGTGGAAGTTTTTTTTGTCTGTGAACCTGGGTTCACATACAATATTTTGTCTGTGCAAAATATTGTCTGTGAACCGGGGTTCAAAGAAAAAAAAACATTTCAAAAACATAAGTGTGTACAAAAATGAGGATAAGAGTGAGTAGAAACATCATTTTTTATTCTTTTAACACTGATTTAAATGAGATGGAGCGAGAACGTAAGTACTAATCCCACAAGAGTAATTCCCACAAGAGTACTAATAACACTGATTTCACAAACATTTCTACTTTGATTATTGAGTATCGGTCAAATGTCAGATGAATGAGTAGAAATGTCAAAACAATCAACTCTATATTATTGTGTCAGTCTCTGATAAGATGGTAGTTTAAATCATGCAGTGGTTGACTACAATTAGGAAAAATCTGTGTAAACAAAACAGGTTTTGGTATACATTTCCAAATTGTTTATGTATACAATTGGTTAAAAAGTTGTTAAATACGGAGTACTACGTAATACATACTCCGTATAATGTACTATTGTACTCCGTATGAAATTATATATGTTATGTGTAAAATAAATTTATACAAATCCACCACTACTACAGCGTCTATTTAATTTGCTGTTAAATTCACGATTTGTATCACTAATTACACCTACAATGGTCTACAGGCGTAATGGAGCGCTCACAAAAACTTATCATATTGAATACTCCATTTGAATCGATTTGCTCACAAAAAAACTTATCCTATTAAATATTTGAATTGTTCCTATTCAACCGATTTGTTAAATATTCAATTTAAAATACCTAAAATGTCAAAGCCAAATTAAAATTCGAACATATCCTAGTATATTTTTGTTCCCAAGGTGTATGTTTTATTTGAATAACATGTTCCAATGCAACTTTTATTTTAAATAACATTTGCATCATTAAATACTTGGTGGACTGAACATAAAATTTTCTTGTTTAATAAATGAAATGGTAAAAAAAAAAGTGCATATTTTACCCATCAGCCGTAACGCCGGCAAAAAACAATTTATTTACCTAGCAGGAAATCAACTTGATACCTAAGTGGATTAGTGTAGGTAAGAAGCCAGTTAACCCAATGACCGAGCTTAACCCAACGCCAAGTTTGACTTGGTCTTCATAACATGGCACGTGACTACGATTGCTGACTTGCGGGTTAGTTTTGATAGTATGGTATTCAATGCCAATTATTGCTGCTCAATTCGTCCTAGTTTTGACTTGGTCCTACAACATTTTAAACAAAAAATGTCCTATTTTCCTTTTTTGTCAAGAAATATGTGTTTCTTATCATTTCATTTTTTTCTACTCAAATCTTACCTGCAACATCTACTTTTCAATCACTTTATTAATAATCGCGTCAAATTGAAAGTGGACAATCAATATAGGACGGAAGTAGTATTTATATATATAGTCAATTTATGATTCATATTAGTACAACAAGTTTTTAAAGAGTAAACAAAGTCTTTTGTACACAGACATACTGAGTATTTTTTATTCACCCATGTAAGAAAATTCTGTGCTGTGTTTGTGAGAACAAAAATATTGTTTCTTCGTATAA